GTGGCTTGGCCTGCTGTAGGAATGATGGCTGCCAGCCATGTGTGAGAGGACAGAGAAGCAGGTGGAGGAAAAGAGTCAACTCTGGACATCCTGCGTTGATCGTACCCCTCAGATTTTCTGACAGAGTTGTGTTCAGTAAAGAGTGGTGGCTACTTCGGGACCTGGTTCTTTATACCTGGAGGGGTGGCCAGGACCACAGAGATAAAAGGAAGCCTAAAAAGAAAGAACATGCCTAAATTCCCCCACATACAAGAAAGAGCCAGGTAACATCAATTGCTGTGGGCTGGAGACATTATTTGTCCTATCCAAAGCCATGCTGGCTCTCTGGGCCCCACACGGCTGCTCCTTGGAAATACCCTCTGAGTGAGAGTAAATCTCGACCATCATTTCACAGCCAAGGGAACGCAGGTCACCAAGGTAAGCTGATTTATCCACAGTGGCAGAGTGTGAGTCAGTACAGAGCCTAAGTTAGCACCAGGGACTCTGTGATCTAACTCTAAGAGAATTAAAAGCAGAGGCCTCAGATCCCCAGCCTGCCAAGCCACATGGCCTTCCCTGGATGAAGAAATCAAAATTTCAGGTTTTCTTCCACTCCAGAAAACAAGCAAGTGCTTGCAAGCCAAACTCATCTGCTTCTAACTCTTAAAAGTGCTACATGGAAAAGACTGGAGAAAGAAGAACCAGGGATTTAGCTCAGTGGTTCGGTGGACTGCCTTGCAAGCGCAACAACCCGAGTTCAATCCCCGGGCTACCCCCGCAAAAAAAAGACTGGACAAAGATTGTATAATGCAATGCTGATTGTCTTAAATCAACCTGAGGAGTCAGTGACAGGATGGATGGAAATAAGTGGGGCCTGTGTATTTATAGGAGCATCAGACAAGTAGAGAAGAAAACTGGAGAAGCAAGAAGGATCCTTTTCTTCAGCACCCCATGAAGTGTTTGGGAGATGTATTACTATGCAACATAGCACAGCCCCCAGTGAAAGAACAGCCTGAGATTTAGGGCAGATTTTTACTTCTCTGGAAATTATTTTGTAAGATGGTCTTCATTCTTAAAATTCACTTTTAGCACAAAGATACTAACCATGAAAATTAAATCCACTCTCCAGATGGTTTTAATCATGCATACAATGTATCAGAGAGAGTTTAGCCAAGGTTGAAGCATATTATTAGATGGTTCAAGAAGGATAGTGGCAACAAGGGCAAGGAGAGAAGAGATACAGCAGCCCATAATAGCCACTCCTGAACACACATCTTGTAAATATGCCCAGTAGCCCAAGGACCTTGCTGTTCTCTCAACACAATCTGCAAGCTTTATCTGATTTCGGCATTAGGGGAGATGATGCCTTATCCAGATAAAGTCGGTCTGGCCCCAGCCCTCAGATTTATGCTTTGGAATTAAGAGTCAGGACTTTTTCCAGGGTTCTTATCCTACTGAGGAATAAGCATTCCACATGACATACACAGCCCTGGCCTAAGAATTACAAAGACTGGATTGCACCTATGAGCTGGGCAGCCCACCAGTGGCCCCCTGCCTCAAGTAGTACTAGACAGCGAGACCCAAATGATTGCAGGGAATCCTAAGACTTCCCATCTGCCTGGATGGCTGCAGTAGAAGCTCTGGTGCCAGTACCACCCTGGAAAAAAAGGTCAGAACCGTGTGGCAGATACATACTGCCTTTGATGACACATAGAAGTGACATCAAAAAAAGAAAAAAAAAAACACCACGTGACATAAAAAACAAAACAAGAGCTTGGACCCATATACTACTCCAGTCCACAGGAAAAATATAATGAGCCCCCCACCTTAGCCTAACACCAGGAGCAGCCGGCCACTTGCAGGTGTAAACTGCTGATGCCACTAGTGATGCCCCTGCAGACATCTAGCAAGAGAGAATGGGAAACCTGGGTGCAGGAACTGGGCTCCAGAAGATCCCAGTGTGTGCTAAGCAGAACATGTTCCAGTGTTCTCCCATTCGGTGCTGATAGAGGAGTGGGGCTACATGCTCCACCTGCAAGGAGTCACCCCTCCATAATAATCCTATGAGTACAAGAGGAGGCAGGGGGGTGGAGGAGGCAGTGACAATATCACTGACCACAACGGAACAGGTCAGGCAAGCTGGGTAAAAAGTCAAGACAAAGCCTGCTGTTAAGGCTCTGTTTCTGTGTATTCCTTCTGGACCTATGACTTAGGCAGCTACAGCATAGGCCTTTTCTAGGTGCTGGGAACAGGTAATGCTTTTCCCTGGTCATGGCACCTGCATTTGGGAAAATGGAGGCAAGATAATAGAGAAATGAATAAAGGTTAATTCATATAAGGAACTCAGAAAGAATAGAGGACAGAGGATCTATGGGGGGGGTGGGTCAGACAGCATGGAAGGTATGTGTAAATAGGGGATAACAGAATGGGGAGTGAGTGGCCAGCCATGTAGAGAGCCAGGAATGGTGTTCTCAGTAGGAAAGGTATGACAATGAAGGAGACAAGGAGAAAACACTTAGAAAAGCACCACCCCTATCTGTGTGTTCAGGCAGCAGGCACAGCCTGGTTCTCTAATGTTAAAGTGAAAGCCACAGTGTGGGCCACTGCTGCTCCAGTAGGTGGCCCTGGGCCCTATCTGGACCAATTCAGTGGCCAACAGCAAGGGAGGTTGTACACAGAGCTGTCAAGTGCCCAGGAATCTCTGGGTCCTCTCTTCCCACAAGGACAGCAGGTATTGCTTTCTACTAGCCACTTGGCTATAAAAACATGGGGACTTTTGTTCTGTGGCAGCCAGAGCTGATCAGACTCCCAATCCTGTGATAGTACTCTGTCCAGCCACTGTCTGCTCTAGACTATTGATCTGGTATGCCCCTTCCTCCTTAAAGTCCCAGCAGACAGAAGCATACAGTTTTGCACAGTGTTCCTACCTAACAGCCAGCACACTGTGCCTGGCCGAAGCAGGCATCATCCTAGAAGTAGAAGCACTGCAACCTGAATGCTACAGATGGAGAGGAAGAGCGTGGCTCATGGTTGCCACATTGACCACAACTACTGACATTTCCCCAGGTGTCCCCACAGAGTTCGGATCACCCTCCAGTAACAAGTCACCCCCTCTGCAGCTGCCCAGAGAAGTGTACTAGGGTAGTGCAAACAGCAATCCACTTGACAGATAGAGTTGAGTCATGTTGTTAACAAGGACTCCTATCAGATTACTCTGTGATTACCTCGTTCTGCAATGTGATAAATTGCTTAATAACTGGATTCCCAATGTAGCTGCTTAATGGGAATTCAATAATGACAGTTACCCTGGATTGTACTGTTAGCCTAGCAAATTTGAGCACCAAGCCTCTATCAACATAACTCAAAACCCATCTGGGATAGGTGAAATGGCTGTGACCTGGATGCACTTCCAGTATTCACCAAACACCTTGATAATATTTGTCTCCTATACCCAACATGCCACATGTCACAAACTCGACATAAATGTCATTTTCCTGTTTAACTATCCAACTAGAAGAACAGGTATCTTTATGAGATTACTCTTGTTCCCATTATAAAGTTAGTGACCAACAGATAAGTAAAAATGAAAGATAGCAGTATTGGATCAGACAGTTTAGGAACCTCTTTCATGGCCTTTTTGTTTTTTGTTGGTTTTTTTTTTTGGAGTGTGTGTGTGAGGGATCCTCACAAAAAGCCACAATTTGTTAAGAAAAGAATTATTACCTCTCCTTGAAGTGGAAGTAAAAAACTTAAAGAGCATAAGGGGCTTAACTTGAAGCCCCACTCCTACCTCCTATACCAGGGCAGAAATCCCATGTTCTTTCTGTGGCATCACCTCACAGAGCTGAGGCTGAAATTTCAGAGATGAAGTACAGCCTAAGATCTGCATTCTTCATAGCTGTCTCCAAGAGAGACTGCCACCACTATCACATATTCTAGAGTAGCAATACTAGTGTTCATGAGGTTTTATTCTATTTCTATAAACGGTGATATATCAGAAAGAAGCCTTTGAAATGGGGGAAAAATTAAGTCCTGTTTTAGATGCAGAGCGTAACTGGCCATAAACTTTTCTATTTTTTTTTTTGAGTAACTATTTTGTGTGTGTGTGTGTGTGTGTGTGTGTGTGTGTGTGTGTGTGTGTGTGAGAGACCTGGAATGCTCCTTTCTTAAAGACATGGCAAGAAGGGAGGACTCCAAACAAGCTGACGGTATTCTTCAGAAAAACTTCCTAAGAAACAACATCTGTTTTTAAAAATCACCTTTAATCTCATCTTTCTGACACAGACATCACCACTGGTAGAAATCCTTCCACCTAGCTACACATTTGCACACTAGGGCTCCGGTGTTGTAATTACAGTTTTGTATTGCCTTTACCAAATACACTATCTGTATTGCTTCCTAAAAACAATGTTTGATAACAACAAGTAACATTCCATGGTGTTGACTCGATAAACACACTGCTCCTGCTAGCACAGGTTTGACACTATGGCTCTTGGGAGCTTTCCAAGGAATGAGATTTTGCAAGGAGAATATAAGCTAAGGTCATTCCATTTCACAATGGTTTCAGGTAAGATAAATAGATTTCTCTGCCCTATGACAAGTTGGACAGAACCAGAGCTCATATTAAAGTGACTTCTGCCTAAACCTGTTTGGGTTATCTGTTTTGTCCCATGAAGCACATGTGGACAGTGTATGGATAAACAGTGAAGTTATTTGTATTTCTTATTTTTCATTTCAACATAATATATTTTATACTTTGGCACTGTGTACATTAATCAAACTTTAAAGGTTCACCCATAAAAGTAAACAAGTTACTTTCCAAAGCCCTGTTTGAAACATTTCACAGCACTATACAGCAAAAACATAACAGCGAACTGCTTAACGTTAAACCATAAAATCAGGTTCTAAACAAAATATGAATGATCATTACCTTGGTATGATATTCCTGAATTTTGCTCTCCCTAAGGGGAATTCTGATAGTGGGAAGATCAAGCACTGAATTCTTCATTTTCTCTTTCTAGTGTGGAGCTGGATTTTAAGCAACAAGAAGACAAACTCCAGCCCATACTGAGGAAACTGCATCCCATTGAGGAAACTCAGGTCGCACCTTCGCCTTACACTCAGGAGACTTCCTCCTCAACGCCCAAGCAAAAATCTAAAACTGAGTCTAAAAAGCACGGAAGATGGAAACTCTGGTTCCTTTAAAACTCTTGATGTGTGGAGTCTCGAGGCCGTCTTTAAAACACACTGGAGTTAAGTCAATCCTGTTCCAAAGAGGAACTGGATCCAGGGAACTGCGGTGCCAATACACGCACTCCCTGCTTCTCGCCCTGCGTACCAAAAAGGCCTTTTGTATCAACAGATCATTAACAGAGCAAGGGAATAAATGTTACACCTTGCCAGCTGTTCTTTGCAGTTCACTGATGTGGGATGTAAAATCTGAAATGAAACTTAATGTAGTCAAAGATGATAAGTAAAATTCTATCCCCTTCCCTCCCAGATCTACAAGTATTACGTTTCCAACCTGCAAAATGCCAGGCTGTCACTCTGTACACAGCTAAAACTCATAGTTATTTCCAAGCCTTTATTTTTTTTAAAATAACAAGAAGAAAACGCAAGCCTTATGTTTGCAAAGGACTTCATTTTTATGTTTCATTTTGCAAATAAGCAGGGGGTGAGTGCGATTTTCAGCACATCAAATTCCGGAGAAAGCACAATTTTTTTCAAGTGGTCAGAGACCATGAATAATCTTTAAAATGTGACTCTATGTATATTTGCCTTCATGTGCTGTAGCGCTAAACCAAGTGAACACGTCTCAGTGTCACATTGACACCTCAAATTTAGCATCCTCTTCATCTCCAGACCTTCAACATGTTTACTCCTCATCTTCCAAATAGCCACCAGCCAGGAGTCCCCCAAAGTCAAAACATGCCTTTAATCACTGCAAGTTGACAGGGTCAGAGCTATTGGACATTAAGCTTTCTTAGATCTCGTTTTTAATCTTTTGGTACCCAAAGGCCAAATGATAGATTCTGGCAAGAATTTGAAAAATGTAGAGATACACAGTGGATAATTCACTCACCAATAAATCACAAGCTCCTGCACCATGACAGAAAGTGTTTCTGCGGATCAATCCTTGACATTGTTCGCCCTATAAACGCAGCCAAACATTTTATATAATTCATTATGCTTTGTAACAACTGTGCAAGATATGACCATCTCAAAAAGAAACTGTGTTTTGTTTAGCTGCTACCAATGGACAAACTTAATGTCACCAACATTTAACCTATTAGTAAGTTGTACTCAACGACATACTTAGGGGAAAGCTGTGAATCAAGTGTTTTTAGGTATTTTTAAAATCCACAGTAACACTTGGAAATCTCTCTTGATTGCGCATTGCAATGTAAATCTTAGTTCCTTTATTTTTTCACTCATTCCTTTGCACCTTTGCAGTATCTTTTTATAGAAATCAAAATCCCCTAGACTATTAATGACTTTGTCTATCAATTTTTTGCTTTTCACAATAGGAAGGAGGGATCTTCTTTTGCCTTTTTTTGTACAATTTAAATTTTGAATAGTTTGTGAACATACCAGAAAACCTAGCCTTCAAATTTCTGTCCAGCCGTTTCATAACTGACTGTGCGCAGAAAGGCACACTTTGCTGAACAGATGCCAAACACAAGGTGTCTCGCCTTGGTAATAGGATCTCAGCCTGCTTTTCTCAGATTAGAGCTACTTCTTGCAGTCCATTTTCCTTTCAGATCAATAGCAGTTTTAGTTTAGCACGAAAGGTTTAGGTTCTACAGGAACCTGGCGAACTGCAATCCAACCAGGACTTGAAAAATAAACAGTACACCATATACATATTCTTTGGAGGTTACTTAAACAATACTACGGAGAGGTTTCTCATTTACAACACATGCATACCCATTTTGTGGAAATATGAAGTAATCAAATCCCTGGAGAGCAGTAAATAGAACTGAGAAATGATGTTGTGCAAGAAGAGTAACGAGCAAGTTGATCCTGTACCATGAGGGAAGTGCAATTGTTTCACGTAGATGAAAAAAAAATTTAAAAATGTGTTTCATGTTTTTTATACTGTTTTTAACTAAAGTTATAAAAATGTTTGCAACAAGTTATCTCTCCTATGTTTTAAGAATCCCAACCATCTGAGTGCACTGAAAAAGGGTATTAGCAGCTTCTAACTAGTGCTACACATCTGTCCCAACGCAAGGACACTGTAATACAGGACATCATAATACAGAAGGTGTCACCATTTCAAATCAGTCTAGACCAAAAAGTAAAAAGATCTGTATTTCCGAATTTAAAAAGGAACCTGAAGATAACCTAATTCAACCCTAAAAATAGAAAGTAATATCCAGAACAGAAAACAGTATTTTCGGAATCATTTCATGGTTTAATTGCAATGTATGACTGAAAGATGGTGATCCTTCTCTTGGAAAGATTGAAGTACAAACTTTGATACAAAACCAAGGTGGAGCATACAGTGTCCCTTCACATGTAGATGTACACCTGGCATTACTTATAGAAATTAAATTATACTCGTCATTAAGTTCTTTATTAATTTTTAAATAAAAAAGCAAAGGTAATGTTCTGTGTGGCTATCAAACTTACTTCATACATAGCCTTAATATTTGGGGAAAATAAAAATAAGAAAACAATACAGCAGGAAGGATGTATGGGCTAAAAAGCATTACAATGGGTCCTGGGCAGGCCAAAGCCTCTCCATCTGTGTGCTCTAGCATGAGCTTGGCCACTGAGAAGGCAGGGTACCATAGGGACTCACAGCATGATGTACTTAACTGAAGTCTGATTTTTAAAGAACCTCAAAGGAGAAGACTAAACTCATCCATTGTTGCTATGCAAATCCTCCCACAGTCCAGTACAGGCTGCTTCTCTCTAGAAGTGACATCGATCTAGTCTTCAGCCCTAGGGGACTAGCAAGCTTCTTTCACCCCTCTTCCCACCCCCAAGTGAGAGACAAATGCCCCATCTTGGCTGGGGCCCTGCCTCACCTGCTGAGACCAGCCCACCCTTGCTCCAGTACCCTCAAGGAAATGGCAGCTCTGTCACCTGGGTAGGAAACACCTTCCTCATTTCTCCCCACCCCATCATGAGTCTACAACAACAGAATCCACTTGCAAGGAAGAGGCACTGCAGATTTGAACAAGAGGCTCCTGCTACCCTCATATGTTCCTCAGAAAGAAAGAAGAGAATGAAGGCAAGTGCTGTGTGCAGAAAAGGAAGGCCCAGTGTGGCATCCAAGGGTAGGTAGGGGGAGTATTCCGTCCACATTCTATAATCAACTGTGACCCACCTACAGGTACCACCTCAAAGATCCTCTCCTATGAACTCCCAGATATAACAAGGACATTTGTTATTTTACATAGTGTTCATTGTCACACCGCGAGTATGTGACTCAGCTTCAAAAAGCAGATGTCCCGGACCTCAGCATTTGCACCTTTGATCTCAGATACTCTTTCTTCCCAAGGCCATTAGAATATACAAGAGGAAGGAACCAAGGTGCAGGAAAATCTTGCTACCTTAGAAAGAGCTTAAGCAACTGGCAGAAATTCTCTGTTCATCCTGCATGTCTGCTGTGCTGGCTATTCTATAAAGAGCTGAGTGTGCCAGGACAGCAAGATGTGAAGGGTAAGGAGCCTACGATCAACTGACAATGGCCCACTCACTGAAAGAAACCAGGAGAATGCCTTGCAACACCATTTTCCTTGAGGGATCACTGCACACATGCTATCACCAAGACACACAACATTAATTAAACTTGAGAAGACATACTGTCAAATAAATGTTTTGCTGTTTGCCTTTCACAGAAGACAGGAAAACTAGAAACAACAAAGGACTGTGAACTTTTTCATTCCATGTTGCATGTACATCAGGGCACATTTATAAAACCCACCACTGATGGAATGATGCTTTGGGAAAAATTTTATCAGCAAGTATCATTTAACTTGATTTACTAATCAAGGCAGCTTCATGGGTGCAGTGTTGCCTAAATATCACAGCAGCCACTTACCATGCCAACATATCTTCTTTTATCTGTGAGAGCTCTATTACTAGTGTTTTTGGAATGGACGAAGTGTGCAGCCAATTTACTTACAGGTGGTAAACAGTTATATGATGCAAATATAGGAAATAACATGCTATTCAGTATATAGCTTAAACTAATCTTGCTATGATGTGTAGCGTGCATTTGGGCAACGGACAGGTCATGTGAAAACTGCACATTACCTTTAAACTGCTCCAAAATTAAGCACCTTTGCAGTTTGACATGGATATACAAAAATTACAGAACATATTTTCCCCAAGCAATGGCATGATTTTTATTTCTGCTGTCCACCCAATTGGTGACCAACCTTTAAAACAATACTAGGGCCTCAGGAACATAAGAAAAACTGCTGCACCAACTCCAAATAAAAATGAACTGCTAAAGCCACTGCTACTAGCAGATAGGCATATTTTGGGATGACTTTCTGAAAGCCTTCTTTTTGAGTAAATTTACAGGCAAACTGTAATTAGAGACACTTTGTATGATGTGTATACAAAAGCAAATACATTTGAAACATTTACAATGTCTTTTCCCTGTTGCATTTGAAAGATTTTTTTTTTAAGTAGCAATTTTTAAGAGCACACTCATATTTAGACTCCATGAGAACAGACACCTCATGAAGGAGAATGAAATATCTTTGTGAAAATATCTGACTATGAGTGGTGGTCAAAAAGCCACAATTTGCTTGAAAACCTATTCTAATTTCCTGTCTCCCAAATGAAGTAGCATGTCAGTCCTTATAAATTACCCAGGCTCAAAGAAAGCACTGAATTTTCATTAATAGCAAACTCCCCAGCAATGGTGCTGCTTGCCTGGTGAAGCATTCTCCCAAATCACCAATGTCCCCAGCAGTGTTGTCCACAGGGAAAACAAAGCAGTGTCCATCACTTGAGTCCATGAGTCAAGAGGCTCCAACTGGTCACAAGAGTCACTTGAGAATCCAGGCAGAATTTCTCCCTTCCCTAAATCTGCTTCCATGAGTTTTCCAAGGGAACCTTTCCTTGGAACAGGCCCACATTTCCACTTTGCTGAATTAGCAATTTTCAGTCCTCTGGTGTATATCCAGGCCAAGAAACTTTAACAGTCCTTCCTATTTCATTACATTTTCAAAAGATCCATTAACAGATTATAAATCTGATCAGTTGAAAAAAGCAACACAGTTAATATCAAAGGAGAAAGTACATTCCTATGTATTAATCATCGTGCCGGTCTCCATCATAGCCTTGTATATAACTAGGAAAGATGCCTGGAATGAGGGGCAGCAAGTCTCCCCCAAATGGCTGGTCTGGCACCTGCACACCACACAGGGGGCTCTGCCCAACCACACACCCCCTGCTCAGATCCACACATGCTGATCAAGATGTTGCCTTATGCCAAGGACCTGGATAGCCTTTCAAATAGGAAAATAAAAGTAAATGTGACATCAGACTTAACATAAAACTAATTATTTTACTCAAGTATATCACAGAATCAGACTACAGTGGAATGGAGAAAAAATGACCTTTGACTCTTATGGCAAGGTTACTGCAAAAGCTTCTGTTCCAGGCCCTGTTGTCAGCAATCACATGATCTACAATTCAACAACTGCCAAGTGGAGTTGTGGTTTTGTTTTTTAGCGTAATATTTATGATCATGGGACATTTTTGTCCTATGCATGAAATACATTTTAACATCCATTTCAAATATAATGCAAGGTGCGGTTTTTATAAAATATCACAGACTCAGACGAAAGAAGCCTCACTGTGTGTATCATAGCTTATCAGCTACATGTGAAATCTCTGGTTCTCTATTCCTCACATAACCAGACAGGGGAAACAGAAGTCCAAAACAGCATTCTCCATTAGCATCATACTCAGATGGAAAGAGGTCACATTTTTAGTATTATTGTAGACAATATGATGGAGTAAATCATTTAGAGAACCATATCTTTTCAAAAGTATTTTAATCACTTTAATTTTTCTTAAAGTCCATTTCAACAATTATTTAAAACTTTCCAGCTTATTCACTTTTAAAATTTCCAATATACTTATTCAAAAAGGAGTAACGCATGAAGATTGAAATGTCCCAGTTCTAAGGAAATGCTACAGCTGACTCAAAACAAATCTATAAGCTATTGCCTGCTCTTTTTCCATCCTTCTAGGCCCATTGATTAAGGTTTTGTCCACCTTGTCAGGGATGTTTTTGCCCTGATCTCCCTCCAATCTAAATTCACAGAGCAACAGTGACATTAAGTCCAATCACCTACATCTGACACAAATTGGGAGGGCAAGGTTAAGCATATTAATCAAGGAAAACCTTTCAGTCTTACTCCGTTGACTTCAAGAGAGGACATGGTTTGGTGGATGACTGAATGATCCTTCTCAGGGACTTGCATTTTAAGTGGCAAATACCATTCTGGAAATATTTTAATGTTGTCATCACTCATCAAATAATTATAGTTTATTCAGACTATTTCTTTTTGAGGTTTAATAACAGTTTAGTTTTACAGATATAAATGCTGAAATTGCAGAGTAGTCAGCTTAAGACTTCAATCTACTTCCTGTCTCTTGAGACTGTTTCAGAGGGTCAGGGCCAGGGCATGAAGGGTGGAGAACACTCTGGATGAGGCACTAAGGCTAAGTTGATCCAGACCCTGACAGTATCTTGAACCCGTGCCAACCATCTAATATGAAAATGGCTACCAATTCTACCTCCCAGCTATCCTGGAGTTTGGTCCCATGGACATGACACAAGGTAGACCATAGAAAGAAGCTTATTTCCCTGGAAAGCTGCCTCCCTGACTAGGGTAGGCATCAGGAAGCAATGCATAGCCTGCTGTGATACCTGTTGAAATGGGCCACAGTCCGCAGCACCACGTGTCTTAGCCTCATAGCACAGGCTGGGAACAAACTCTAGCACCACACCCAGGCTCCACACCACTGCTGCCATGTTTGGTGAAGAGTCCGGATGATTTTTTCTGTCTGTAGGACATTTTTTGGAGCCACATATGCAGGGTGAGGGTGGGAACTAAATGAGAATCTTCCAGTTATACAGTGCCCCGCCCATAAATAGGTGCTCAATGAAGAGTTCCTATTTTTGTTGCTACTGTTAACATCATCGCTGAGATAGGAGAAATTTCCCAAAGACATCTTGGACTACATGGTCTAAGACGAAGCATGATGTCCTGCATGCTCCAGTCTATCCTCTGATCAAGCTATAACCATGTTTTATAATTTCTTCACATTCTAAAGTAGCTGTCCAAATTTTTATGAGCTTTCTCTTTGTCCTCCTCTGCCCTGTTTGGTTGCTGGCCAGTCAGCTATTAATCAAGTGAACACACACCTAGAAGCAGTCCCTAACCAGAAAGCTGGGGAGCTAGCTCAGTAGTACAGCACTTGCCCAGAATATGCCAGGTCTTGGGTTATAGCAAAAGGACTGTGTCCCCTTAACCAAAGGCAAAACACTAGTCCTCTAACCAGAGGTAGGGCAATGTCTCCCTTACTAGAGGCAGGACTATCCCACC